AATAGAATAGAATAGAATAGAATAGAATAGAATAGAATAGAATAGAATATCCTGCCTAGTGTGTCCGGAATTATGGGTCACACGCTGGTCAGCTGGATAGAGAAGCTCAAAATCCAGGACTGGATGGTCACAGCCATTCTTCCATTCTGGCTTCAAATCCCACAATTTAAATTATCTTATGGGTGAAAAAAATATATATTTCCTTCTATCCATCCTCAATCTCCATGCATTTAGATGCTGAGCTGTAACCTCAAATCCTAACCACATAAAACAGGGAGAAAACATCTGTGGGATCTTTGGTTGAGCTTGGCTGTTTTCTTGTGGACGTTTCATGATCCAACTAAGTAACATCATCAGCGCTAGAAGGGAGTGGGGTTTGCTATCTTGGTGGGAGTGTTCTTAATGGCTGCTTGATTAGGCTGTTGTTTACTGTTCGATTGTTGTCTGCATCGATAGTTCCTTAATTGGGTTGTTGTTTACTGCTTGATTGTTAGTTTAGTACTAATCTTGACGTTGATCTCCAAGATAAAGAGTAAACTCCACACCCTTCTAGCACTGATGATGTTACCTAGTTTGGTAATGAAACATCTGCAAGAAACAACCAAGCTCAGAGACCACCTAGGACCCCCCACAATTCAACCCTGAGCTACAAATATTTTCTTCTATTGGAATGTATTTCCTTTTACATCAACCTGTAAAATCTAAAGACACCGCTCTATTACTCTATTTCATAAGGGGACTGGAGGCTAAAACATATAAAGAATGCTTTCAGGAATTGGGTATGTCTAGTCTAGGAAAAGAAGGACTGGGGCTGACATAATAACCGTATTCCAATATTTGAGGGGCTGCTACAAACAAGAAGCAGTCAATCTATTTTCCTAAGAATCAGAAGGCAAGAAACAATGGATGGAAACGAATCAAGGAGAGAAGCAACCTAGAACTAAGGAGAAATTTCCTAACAGTGAAGACAATTAACCAGTGGAACAACTTGCCTCCAGAAGTCATGAATGCTCCAACACTGGAAGTTTTTAAGAAGAGATTGGACAACCATTTGTCTGAAGTGGTGTGGGGTTTCCTGCCTAAGCAGGGGGTTAGACTAGAAGACCTCCAAGGTCCCTTCCAACCAGTCTATTCTATTCTATTTTTAATTCTGTTCTGTTCTATTCTATTCTCTTTTCTCGTCTCGTCTCTTCTCTTCTCTATTCTATTCTATATTCTAAACTTTTGGGTGTTCTAAAACATGATTGTTTTAATATAACTATTCTATTCTATTCTACATGCTGTTCTGTTCTATTCCTATTCTATTCTATTCCATTCCAACCATTCTATTCTATTCTATTCTATTCTATTCTATTCTATTCTATTCTATTCTATTCTATTCTATCCCATTCCATTCCATTCCATTCCCTATTTGTATTCCATTCCATTCCACTCCACTCCATGCCACTCTATTGTATTATTCTATTCTATTCTATTCTATTCTATTCTATTCTATTCTATTCTA